GCAGCTGTAAATTCAACTATGGCAAATAAAATGTTTAACAAATTATTATACTATTCAAAAAAAGTAGGGGATATTTGATTTTGGGGGCATAATACTAAAATATGCAAATGACTACGAAAAAAGTCACTATAGAACCTAACAGAAGAAACATTTCCAGTTACATGTGACGCCCAAACGCACCAATAGCTACCGCATGGAATGCAGGTGATGCTTGGGATCATCATGGGGGTCCAACCCAAGATTTGCACGACTCTGACTTTGAATGTTACAGTCATTGTGGCATTGAATTCCGGGGTGGAAACATCAGTTTAATTGTTTTAGTGACCAGAAAACAAATTTTGATATGCGTCGGCTTACCCAAAATGAAAGGTTACGTGCCCTTGGCATGCTACAGATCGGCACAACACAGGCGGTTGTGGCGCGGACGATGAATGTTTCTCAGTCTGTCATAAGCAGGCTATGGTCCAGATACCGTGATACACAATCTGTACAGGACAGACCACGCTCAGGTCGACCAAGGGTGACAACTCAAGCCCAGGATCGATTTATCCGTACCTTGGCCTTGAGAAATCGTGTCATCACAGCAAATCAGATCAGCGCTCGTCTTCAAACAGACACTGGTGTGAGAGTGAGTGGCCAGACGATTGGGAATCGACTGCATAGGGGTCACCTTCGCGCCCGACGTCCTCGCGTGATCCCTTGTTTGAGAGATCATCACATTCAGGCAAGACGTCGTTGGTGTAGGGATCGTCAACACTGGGATAATCGACGCTGGAGCAATGTGATGTTTTCAGATGAGTCAAGGTTCACTGTTGATTTTTTGGACAGACGTAGGAGGGTGTGGCGTCAACGTCATCAGACATGATCGATTTGGGGGTGGTTCTGTTATGGTGTGGGGAGGCATCACTGTTGCTGGAAGAACGGCTTTACATGTTGTTGCAGGGCGTGTTACAGGCCAGTACTACCGGGACAACATCTTGGCAGTCCATGTTGTGCCGTTCGCACGACGTCATAGCCGCCGTTCATCTTCCAGGATGACAACGCAAGATGTCACAGGGCCAGGATCGTTACAGGTTACCTCCAACAACAGAACATCACCACATTACCTTGGCCAGCACTGAGTCCCGACCTCTCCCCCATCGAGCATGTCTGGGACATGCTTGGACAGAGGTTACGTCAACGTCAACAACGTCCTGCCAATGTCCAAGAACTTGCTGCTGCGTTGCAACAGGAATGGGACAATCTGGACCAAAATGACCTTAGACGTCTCATTAGGAGTATGCCACGTCGGATCAATGCTTGTTTGGCAAACAGAGGAGGATTTACCCGTTACTGACTTGGTTGTGATGCTGTGGTAACTTTGCTGTTTGACCCCGGGTATCATTTTACCCTTATAATGGTCAGTCTGTGCCTTACTTAGTCTAACGATCATTTGGAATAAATCGATGAATGTGAACTTCATTTCATTTTGTCATTTGTTTCTTCGTCAGTTTCATTAGGTGACTTTAATAACACTTAAAAATCAAATATCCCCTACTTTTTTTGAATAGTATATTTAGACATTTGTTCACTTATGACAAGCCCATATTATTCCACTCTCTGGGCTATTGGGTGGCTTTAATAATTAGCGGATTAAAAAATGTCAGAAATATCTGCTTTAAACGCTAATATGGCAGGACACTGACCATGAAAGAGCTGACAATCGAGAATATGAACTGTGGTCGGAATTTCCGTCTGCCAACAATTACGACTATTTCTTGTCAAAACATCAAACATTCATAATTTTGCTCAGAATAAAGTAATTTCGTTGAAATTTTCGATATATTTATTTTTCATTACCTTTCTCTAAATCTTAAATGTATTTTAGCGCCTTGACCATGCATACTAACATGGAACTGTGCGCTATACATATTATTATTTTATTTTTATTATTTCATAATGTATCTTTAAAGGAGCCAAGTCTATAACTCAATATCATCCACAGTCTTCGACATTGCAACCACGACTATTGGTCAATTTAAATCAACATTGATGTTGTTATCTTACCGTAAACAATTGGGCTTCTGATATCCAATATTTAAGACAAAATGAAAATATTAAAATTGGCACATGAATCGCGTGCAATAATACTTTCGAGCGCCATCTGTATGAAGCGACTCGATAAACGTGGCTAAACATATCCCATGTATGATAATACTACTACCGGTGTAGACTGGAATAACCAGACGCCGAAAACTACCATTCAATTCGCCAAACATAACTGATTAAAAATTACAGTAAAAATAGAAACGATTGTATGTAAATCCGTTTATATACATTCATATTACATTATGATATGCGTTGCGACCCATTTGTGTCCATTTCTAAGTGCCAAAGAATAGCGATTTAGCTCCTTTAATTAGAATAAATCATTTTATGTAACATCTCTGTTATATATTAAATGTTTTATCGCAGCTGAGCAACTCTGTATCATAATTAGTATTGTTGTTGAGAAAGGCGTGACGAAGACCAGCTGCAATTGTAGCGGCATCTTGTGGTGTCCGCTGCTACAATTGATACACACTTCGAAGCTTTGAACAAGTAAAAATAGCTTCAAATGCAAAATTCTCGACACACATTGTCACAGTTTACATGGAAATAAGTAATTATGTTACAACTATTGAAGAATGGAGCACTGAAATAGTTACGGTTTTTCTTCATATTTGAGGTGACGTTTAATCACGTGCGTGTTCTAATTCTGGTTTGGCGGCCATTTTAAATGACGAATTTATGTGGTAAGGTATCACTTTTATTTCAATTGGAATTGGTTTATCATATGTTAAGCTATGTGTAGTATAGCTAGTGGTCAGTTTTATTGGAAATTAAGGGAGTTTTAGGCCAGTAACCTTTTTGTAATCAAAGGAGGTGCTTAGAACGACCCACTATTGTGGCTTGAGTAATACGGAAGACATCAGTAGTGGAACCATTTCTAGACGGGTACTTGAACAGGTTGTTAAATGCAACTTCATAAAATTAAGATTACGATCTTAAATCAATATCCCCATTAATGCATTATTCAATGATTAAGTTGTTTTTTGTTTTATCGCAGTTGAATAGCGTTTATTTGACAATCATGACTAGGCCCGAGTAAAATGTTAAGCTCGTGTGAAATAATTATTAATATTGTTTTGGAACCATTAAATATGGAATTAAGCTAGCAATATTAATGGTGCATTATATTGCTTAATGTTTATTGTCATTATTATGCCCGTATACAATAAGTATAATATATGTATAATAAGATAAGGGGGTTGGATGGCCGAATGGTTAGCACGCGCGCTATATCATACGGTCTGTCATTGAGTCAACTGGCGGGGTTTCGATTCCCTGGTTGTACGTGGCAAGGAGTAGGGTCGCCTGTCCAACCTCGTGGGTTTTCTCCGGGTCCTCTGGTTTCCTCCCACTGCTAAAGACCCCTACGCGCAAGCGAATTATTGAAATAAAATTGAACCATGTGTTAGTCCCGAAATTACCTATTTTGTGTCGAGGGGACGTTAAACTCTCTCTCTCTCTCTCTCTCAAGATAAAGAAGTAATAATATTATTTATGTTATCAATGATAACTTCTCTCTTAAACATTAGTGTTACATCAGTGACATGTATTATAACGGTAAATCTAATGATGCCACTAGTAAGTAAATATATAACTTAAGCTATTGAAAGGCTTAATACTATTATTATAACACAAACTATAGTAATACGGTCTCGGGACAAACGATAGGTATTACTGATTCACTTCTAATTTTCAGGATTATAAATATAAAATCCCAACCGCGACCATAAAATATTCCCTTTACAATGTAAATTGTATTTTTGTTCACATCGAAAGTTTGGATTTGAGTGTTGGCACTCTGAAATTCAGCTTGCATGAGCTGTGTAAAATCATATACTCTTTTGTTCTGTTTTAATCGATTAATCTTGCTGGTTGTCATTAATGCATATCCCGATATACACACCAATACAGTAATGTTACCCTGGGACTACTACAACCTCAACGACATAGTGAAATCCCGTATTAAATCATAATGTATACAATTACTGGTGGTATAATTGGTGGCGTAGACGAGTGAGTGTCTTTACCCCGGTAGCTTCGAATCCTTATTATGCTACGTGGTAGAATTAATGTAATGATGTCATATACTGCTGCTAAAGTAAATGCTAAAACAAAGTAATTAAAATAAATCCCACGTGCAGCATATAAATATCAGTGGGTTATTATATCGTTATTTAACTAGTGGGCTTGCTTTTTTATGTTAATTTTATTCATTAAAGATACATTATGGGAGATTAGATAAAGAGCTGACAGTTCTCACTAATATTTAAAAACTAGATAATATAAAGGGAATTTGCTGAAAATTTCAGTCAGATTGATCCACTCTGAACCGAGAATTTAGCGATTGAATTTTCGGCCTAGCCTCGATCAACATTACTAAAGTTGGTACGATAAAAAACATAGTCTCGATTATTTTAGAAACTGGGGGCTAATATTTATATGACGACGTTTTCTTTTCAGCCACCAGAATTTAACATTTTGCATCGTGCTATAATTTCTATTTCATTATACACAGTGCGTATATTTATTATAGTATGACAGGGTAGAGGGTATACCAAATTGTTTAAATGAATATTATATAATAATGTATATCATAAAATTTAATATTGCAATATTTAGTATTGCACATTGGTTTGTATAGTAACCTAGCCATCATATAATATTGTAATATTGTAAGATAATATTTAACAGCGTGTATATTGTATTATATATCGAAAGTTTGAATATATTGTAATGTGTATTTTAAATAATATTAATGTTATATAAAGTTGTATTTTATGTATTTGTATTATTGTATCGTATTGACACATTATCTATATTATAATATTGTAATTGCATGCGTATTGTAAAAAAGCACACCTCTTGCTTAATGTTATATTATTGTAATGTATACTTTATTAATCCCTTACCTTGGAATTCTTTCCTGGCAGCACTTATACTCGTCACAATATTAGCTATATGTCCAAGAACAGTTGCAAAAAGAAGCAGCGCGAAAATCATTTCAAAGATGGTGAAAAAATATTCCCCTGTGGTACGCGGAACTGGGGGATTTCCCACCGTTGTCAAGGTGATGGTACTCCAATACAAGGCGTGTAAATACTGCAGCAAGGTATCGTTGCCATCCTTGGGGAATTTCCAGTAGACCGGATCTTTTTCCAATCGCGTCGCCACGATAAAGAAAAAGCAGGAGTTCCAATGAAACAGTGCCAACAAATAATGCATGAGGGTAAGCGTACGGATAACATTGGGGTAATTGGTATGTCTTTCCGTGCGATCTAAAAAGGTCCAATAACGATAGACCTTCACAAGACGGAAGCAACGTAAAATAGAACAAAAACCTATAGACAGGTATAAGAAATCTAATGGAAGAAGACAAAGACAATCGATGTAAAACATAGTCGTATTCATATAATGTATACGTAACTTAACTGGGTCCGTCTGTAATACCCCTTCCTCTAAATACCCGGTGCGGAAACGAAACGCGATATCCAAAATGTACAAAAAATCCGCCGAGTAATCCAAAGTGAACCACAGTGAAATGTTATTCGGGTTGATCTCATTAAATGCGAAACGATATATAATAACCCAAAAGTTATATAGGAACGCAACACTGACCACTGATGTCCACCAATAACACAAACGACCCGAGGGGTCAAACACAAATGTCCAGTTACACCCGTCGTTGTCCGACGTAGTTGTGGACGTCTCGATTTTCTCACCCCCTCCCCCACCCCCGCGCACACCCTTTTTGCCGAATTTTTCTTCGATATCTTTCTTACGCTGTTTTCGAATTTCCCTCGTTGTAATCACATTCGCAACACTCGGTCTGGAATTTTTCATTAGCGAAGAATGAGCCAAAGAATATCTCTTTCTGTTTTTAACCCTGTCAAATTTATTGCTGACAATCTCTAACAAACTCTGTTTGGAAGTGGATTTGGATTTTTGTTCTACCACCTTATTAGAATATATGGGAGAAGAGACACTGATCTTGTCACTCGAGCTCAATCGTTCCCCGATCAGTTTCGTCCGGTCAGTCGGTGACTGGTACATTTCCAAACCTGGTAAATGACGAGGACCGTTAGCCGTTGACGTCTGCTCGATTCCGTCTTCGACCTGCTGTACCAAATCTCGCGAACCCTCTCCTCCATCTTTGTCGTCTGCTTCAACGATAGCTATCTCCTCCAATTCTTCTTCGTCCGTATTCTCGTTTTTGGCACATGGAGAATATTTAACAACAATTCCAGTGTCACTCGCTTTTCTCCTCGAAAGCACGGCCGACATATTGTTGAAAACGCCATGCGGTATCAAAATCTACCGCATTAAGATACGCCCACTTTAAAACCCCACAAATAACGAATAATAAATAAGAAAATCTTTAAGCGAACACATATTGTTAAATTCCTATATACGGGGTTTTTTCAATAAAAACTTGACAAATTATTGACACGTTAACTGCCTTGCCATATTCCAATTTTAATTTATGAACCAGCGACTGAAACAGCTTATTAAATAGTATAAATACATATGCCAATCCAATAATGTGATGTATAGTGGTTTCAGTACTCAACAATAATAATGATATTATTAATATATTTGTCACTTTCGCGTCAATCACACATCAGACTATCCATTCTCTGGGATAAAATCAAATTCACTCCATGGCCCTCGACTATTTGCAACACGTGTAGAGCACGAAATACAAATAATTCTGCTCCAACTCAACGACGCACCACTACAACACCAGTGAAGTCATTTTTCCAATAATATCTGCTTTCCACGTGAAAGCGAGTGACAAAATGTTTAGCTCGACGCCTGTTACTTTGAAGACGGCCGTTCTTTAGTGGTATTTGACACACACGCGTATTTTGAGGCGGTCGATGAAATCTTGAAGAATGATAAGATAAGAGGTGATGCCACGGACGAGATGGTTTGACAATATGAGATAAAAATTAAAAAACGATCACAATTTTGGACCAATCTTGTCCTAACAGCTATCCAGCTTCATAGAATACTCAGCAGCTGTTAATAAAGCACTTGTCGATGTTTAACTTCCAACGTCCATGTAACATATGGAACAAGCTTCATTTGCATACGATAACAATAACTATAGGAAAAATCTGCTACCGCACGCACAAGTTATCATATATTTTCTCTTTAATAGTCCCTGGACACACATCTACGGTCGCGTTTGCTGATGATGGCTCAATGGTTGGCGTTATACGTATTTGTAAAACCGCTTATATGTATAAAATCTATAGCATTTCTCCAGCCCACTCTTCTTGTACTCGTTATGTGTTTGATCGATGGGTATCATAATATTAGATATAAATGTAAATGCCACCTAATATCCTCATCGAATCATAGCTTTTTCGAAAATTCATGAATATGGCTTTGCTAGATGAGCCGGTGCTGCTGTCCATCTGTGCATGGTTTTACTACAGTACCCCTAACATGCTCCTTCCTTTATTGAACGCTGAACGCCTTGCCGAGAATAGAGGAATCGGATAGCGAGTTCTGAGAGAAAAATCGATCTCAAGTCATTGTTTAAGTGTTTACAATTACAAATTAGTTACTTTTCTTCAAGTGTTTGGTGACAAGCCCAACAAATAATTTACACTGCTAATACTACCACAAAAGTTGTTCAGATCAGATGAGCTTACCTAGTAACGTCATACATGCAGGTTTCTCGGCTGGAGTAGATTATCATCGATATTTTATGATGATAGACGTGTTAACCGAGAGTACAATATTTAAATATTCTCCTAGGAGAACGTATAACAAAAATTCTTTTAGTTTATTTACTACATATTGGCACTGCCTCATGTATGGATGGATATTATGCAGGTTAATCGGCCCACTCTACTTCTGATGAAAGAGTAGGATATGTATTGATCGAACCAATATTGTCTTCGGAATTTTTCTCTGATTTTCAACGTGCGGTGGTCAAGTTTTATCGCAATCAAACTTCTGCGTTGGGAAATGTCGTCTGCTTCTCACGGCTGTTGTATGTGGTGTTATTGATTTTTATCTGATCGCGTTCGGGTGCGTTCGTTGCCCTTCCACGCGATCTTAGGTCTTTTGTAGACACGCGAACTGATCTCCCGCAGGCGATCTAAATCCTTCCATATAGACTTTATACATGTGTGTTATTATTATAAAACATTGTTCTTCAAATTCAGAAAGAAAATAGTTTACTGAAGTGGTAGAATATTACAAGATCTTCAACGAGGCCATGCTTAATATATGTTTATATTACACGTTGAAGTGGTTGAAGATTAATCCGCCAGGGAATAGAACAATGTTTCATCTACAGGTAGACTTTAAAAGGTCTGCTTTACATCAAATGTATATCAAAGTAGGTATAAGTCACACTATCTGCCGGTTTGGCGTGATTTAAGACTTGGTTCCAATTATACTACTATTCCGTAGTTTCCACATATTCCAGATCACTAAACAGGCACACTACAAATGATTTGAACACCTAAATTGAAAAGTGTTGGGCTTTTCGGTTAAAGTAAGCTTACTAGACAGCAGATGAAATGGGCCCACGACAGTCACCTTTATGAATTTGACACAAGGTTACACTGACTTCTAAGCGATTAAAACGCTGTCCCGTATTTATATACATGTATGTTTGAAATAGGATGTCCATGTGTTCAGGTCCGTATGTACTCTGAGTTATATTTACCTGAAAAAAAACATCGGTCCTAACCGATAAACACCTGTATGGAAAAGCAAACAAACCTATGTAATACGACACTTCAATACATTTACTCTCAGTGGGTAATGTTAAAATCTACACAGGTTCCAGCTGACTAAACCTAACCTTAAAATAAACTTAATGGTATTTTAATGGTAACCAATATAAGTCAATATTAAAACAAAATACAGGTAGTACATCTGGCTCTGACCAAGACGGTATACAATATTTTTGACACTGTCATAATAAGCGTGTTTTACACGAACTGCGATCTTGCACATCTGTCATAATCCTAGGCTCTGCTAAATTGTCATTAAACCACCCGTTCATCTCCCTCTAGTCTGATTATAAGCATAATTACGTACCTAGGGCCTCTCTTCATCTAACCCCGACTCTGATGTGAACTGACCAATGGTAAAGTGAAGCTACTAAGAAGTTTCACCTGACATTAATCCATGATTTTGAAGAAAGCTAAATAATTTTAATAATGTCTTCTTGCCTAGGTTCATGCTATAAAACAGAGGTGGGAACAAGTTGCGGGACTTATAGTACCGAGTATTCACAAAGTCCAAGTCCCGTTCAAATCGCCAGTTCATCCGATGAGAGTTATAACTATTTGAAGTCAAGTCGCAAGTCAGGTTTTTGATGCGTCTTGAATTCAGATTCAGCTCCCACCTTTGTATAAATAGAGAATCTCCTACCAGTCTTTTTTGATATCAACTTTATCAACGAGTGTTGATATTTTTTGATACCAAAATATCGCAGTAGATTATGAAATATATCATACTGTAGAATGTATTATTGGGTGATAAAACTTGTTACATTTCCCGTTTACAGTTTAATCCAGTTTTCATTTAAAGCGGCATTATGGAAGATTAGATAAAGATCTGTCAGTGTCAGTTCTTGCTATAATAGATAATGTAAAGAGAATATGCTGAAAATTTCAGTCAATTTACTTCACTCTGAGCTCAAAAACACGGTAGCCTCCATTGTCATAAACAAAGTCTCGATTATCCATTTTTACGGTTAATCATTTACAGCCCTTGAACCGCAGATCGGATTCAAATCTGTTTAAAATCGTACCCATCAGATGACATCGAAAGTTAGTTATGGTCCTGGCATGTTAATAAATGTCTAATTAATAGTTTATGTATCATTTAAGGCCCAAAGAAAGACCGGCAATAGGCAGATTTAGCTCTTGCATAATGCCTGTTTAAGGAAGATAGCGATCATTACGTTTTACACACGGAAAGTTACCAGGAAATATAGTAAACGAAATGAAATGAAATGAAAAGGGGTTTAACGTCCTACTGTTCTGCTCCTTTACTGGGCTAATGAAGACGGGCATACGCCATACAGTGTGCTATGAGGGAAATTTTGCCCGGGCAGCGGCACTATCGCCTACTCTTATATCGAATTCCAACTGCCAAGGGATCTTTTACGTGCATTCTAATGTATACACGGGACCTCGGTTTTTTGTCTCATCCGAAGGACTAGACAGCTGTCCTTGTCAGGCCCTCTGTTCTGCACCACTGACAAGGGGAAACCACGTCGGAAAATCCAGATGAACTTTCTCGGCCAATGCAGGGATCGAACACCCGACCTCCAGGCTAGCGAGCCAGCGTCTTAACCACCTAGCCACCGTGGCTCCCAAATATAGTAAACAGAGCATTAATATCGTACTAGGTGAGGGCTAGGGTTAACCGGGTATCATTGACTAACTACTGTAACGATATTGAAATTGACCTAGGGGGTAGGGGTTAACCTTAAACTACCATTGAAGAATGCACCAGTGTGGTTTACCATTGCATAATCAATACACTGTGGATTATTAGGTGTTACCCTCAGATATTAAAAACACGATTACCTTTGACATTTAAGAGTGAGTGAATTTAATTAACAATGAGCTCTTTCCAATCACCATTGATTGGGCTGGTATAGGGTTATTTCTAAATATCAGACTTAAAATGTGAGATTTATCTGCTTCTGATGTAATCTGAAGATCGCCATAGACGTCTTTGGTGTTTTTGTTCTTTTAAATGTGAATTCAATAAAATTTTATCTGTTTATTAATTTAGTTTTGGGAAGTGGGTATCCTTCCATGTTTAACATTTTAAGCCCACTAACAGAACAGTTGTGGTATAAATGGTCTCGTATTCGACAGTTTTAAACCAAAAACAATCTTCCGCTGGCTATTTCTAAAAGAAAATTTAATTGCATCTCCCACCCACCTTTTCCCATTCCTAACCGAAATAACAGACTAAATCAATCCCATTTAACACTTTATTCTGACATAGCTTACCATATTTAATTATACGGAATGAACATGATATCAATACTGAACATTTGAAACATAAGGTGTATCTAAATTGCTTTGCGGCTTTTGAAACAAGAATGGGGAATTTAAAGTGTTCCCTTCAAAATGGCCATATTTGGAAGGGTAAAGTGTGTCGGATCTTATTTTAAGAAATTAAACAGTTGTCTACCATTACATGTATGTGATCAGCTTTTGTATAGGTCATATTTTCTTCGGGGTATTTAATGATTTTGCCTTCTAAACACCAACGAGATAAAATGGTATATGAAGGTCATCCAATGCCGTCAGCAATTCTCTAATATCTGCAACAGCACAAAAGTAAGCTGATCGAACTAAGGGAAACAACCCCTAACAAACTCATCTTGCCATTATTGGACATTGCACTTTATTGCAGCTCAACGACAGCGTAAAATATCGCAGTGGCCAGGGCCTACAGGGACACGGAGGTATGCCGAGTAATGTTTAAAATAAAAACTGTTGGTATAAATTATTAAACAAAATGACACTTTTACTTGATCGTAGAGTAGAAGAAAACCGGTGAATTTTGCGAATGTGGGTACCTAGTGGTGTGGGTAGGATTAGAATCGCATTCTGGCAGGCCCTTTTTTTATATTTTTGAAAAATTGGTGAATTTAAAACGATAAGCCACATGCCCGGGCGTTCACGCCGTGGCGCTCCAACCCGTCCTCGTTCCGCTTGAGACTCTCGTCACCGCCAAGGTATTCACGCCCCTTCCATTTGAATCCAGTTCAATATGAATTTGGGTAAATGAAAAGTTTTTGGGATGGAAAATTTTCTTTTTGATATTTTGGCGTCTGATGATAACGGTTTTTGTTTTTTACATTTGTTTGCTTGCTTAAAATTACCTGTCAAAATCGTGTATATCTGGTTATTATTACATCAGTAAAACTAAAACATAATATGTCATATGCTGTTGTGTTAAATCTAAATTTCTGTGTTTTACCAGTGAAATCCAGTTACCCAAGATATACGTCAAAATGGCGCCAGGGACGGTGTATCTTTCAATAATTCTAGAGCGGGGGGGGGGGGGGACCCACCCCCACTCCCTTGCCGAGTTGCTTGTCTCAGGGCCCGAGGTTCCCTATCGCGGGCCTGCTTTTACGAACCTTTTTAAAAATAAACAGCAATATTTAGAAAACTACTTTCCAATAATTGAATCGACCAATTACCTTCTGTGGTAAGCATCAAGTAAATGAAATAAGTATCTAATATCCGAGAATAGTCTGCGTTTATTAGTCTGGAGGGAAATTTATTTATGAAATAAAACCGTTTTAATTTGCTGCGGTACACATCATAGATTACCAGACAAACGAGACTTGATCATATTTACAACTTTATTTTAATATACAACCGTCCCTAGGTGTTTATTAGTTA